GGCATTTCTACACAGTGGATACAAGTACAAATTCGTCAGCCTTCGCTTGTTCATGGCACTTTAGCATATCACAAAAGCTTAAACTGTTTGTAGCCTATGACCTAATAACTACACTTCAAGGCATTTTTCTTTCTCCCAGCAAAATCATGAAAAGCACCACATGTCAATCATTATAGGATTTATAACTGAAGAACTAGCAACTTATCAAAAAAGTGAGGTTGATTAAGTAAATCGTGATATATCCAAATAATGAAATATTAGACAACTGTTATAAAGCAAGGTTATTTTGGGGAGGAGAAGAAGTGGCTACAATACAGAGCTATGTAAAAATGGCAGGACATAATAGGTTAATGTCATCTTCCTTATTTCAAAGAAAATTCAAATATGGATGGGAAGAGAACAGAAGAAAATTCACCAGAATGTTAATAATTGTTTCACAGTGGTGAGATTGTATTTTGTTGTTTTTCCCTTTCTTTCAACTTTTACCCAATTTATAAGAGACTTTTTTATTGTTTTCTTAATTGTTAGAGTGTTTATACACACACCAGACTGTTGCATCCATTGTGGGAGTTCACAGAGTGCAATATATTTTCAAATATATGTAAATGAGTAGCAAAGAGAATTTCCAGATTTTAGCACTTTTAGAATAAGTGGTGCATGTTTCCAAAAGTTCCCATTAGAGGCATTCTGAATGCAAAGCTTCTGTGACATGACATTTAACTGCTCGTTATTATTTTTTTTTAATCAACTTGTAGCTTTCCTAGATACTTGTATTAGTCAATTTATCTCTCTTCATCTGGGACCTAAATGCTTTACAAAACACATTTTTCTCTGAGAACCATAAACCTTATCATTCATGTCAATGCAAACTCTGTTCATATTATAGTGTTGGATCTTAGAATGTGACTATGAGCTCAACTGAAATACCTTCTGGACTCTGGGATCCTTGAACAATAACAAATACAGAATTTCAATTTGGGACTTTTAAAGGAAGGGGAATATAGTAGTTAAGTGTTTAAATCTGAGACAATG